CATGCAATTTAATCCTGTTACTAGTCCCCACAATTTCACTGATAAGTTCTTGTTTCTTTTTCAAGTACTAAAAAATCAGACACAAGTTATGATGTCAGAAGAAACACAAGTGAACATGCAAGTAATGATGTCTGGTTCTTTTCAGGGTAAACACAAGTAAGGTATTGAATTAACAATCAAGAGAATATATATGACAATATCAAAACATAATTTCAGATCAAGTAAAAACTCAATTTCTATCAGACAATAACGAAAAGAAGATCCGAATTACATAGCACATATCCAAGTTTTTAAAGAAATTTTGTTCAAATACGCCTAAATCAAACCACAAAAACAATAATGTTATGAAATCGTTCTGAAATCGCAAATAACAGAGGCATGCAAAACAAGAATCGATTAGACTGACCTAGATTTGAGCTACCTATAACATCAGACTTGAGCTAGATTTGAGCTACCTAGAACATCAGACGTGAGCTAGATTTGAAAGAAACAGACCTAGAAAAAATCCGAAAAAGAAGAAAAAATCAATTGAATAAAGGACATGCCTTCGATTTGAGCTCAAATCCGACAGATCTAAGGCGGAATTAGTGCCGGCGTCAGGTTCAGTTTCACGGCGACCTTCAATGGCGGCGGCAGAGGGCTTAATCGGCGATTGGGAGAGTCAATTCGTCGGTCAAAGAGAGTTATGTCTGATAGAGTTCTGTCTTAGGGTTTTCGAGAAAGAGGGAAAACGCGTCTTTTGGCTTAAGTGTTTTTTGGGAATTCTGACTAAGTGTTTGGCGGAATTAGGGATTTTGGGTTCCCGCTCATTGAAGTTCTATCTTAGCGTTTATGAAATGCTATCATATAACAACCATAATTACATAACATCTTCAATAGCAGTTTGGTAAACCGTGCTATTACGGTATGCTATCAATGAGGACTTTTTTTGTAGTGCATTCTCTCCAATTCCGTTTCGTGGCCATAATTGCAAAAAAAATTTATTTGGAATAATCTAAATCAATTTGAAAAGTTTAGTCTATATATATAATGTTGGATTAATTCACCGTTGGATGTAATAAATGATATAAAATAGATACCCACATGATCATATACATATAAATCATCATAACTTAGTAGGTTCTTTAATCAAAAAAAAAAATTAAATAAAGTTAGTAGATCGGCAATATGAAGCTAATATATATTATTCGAATTCCCATCATGATATTCATTTGCGGCTTGAAATTTATAAGGGTTTGGGTTGATAAGTGAAAGGAATCATAGCTTGGGTTCAAAAAGACCGCATGGAAATAGTTAGGGTTGATTTAGGCCATTTTCCGTAACCTAACCAAACAGAAATTGCCGCGGTTAGGCCACCAGAAGATCACAGGCAAAAATCACTTGGCAAAGCATGCCACCCATCAGAATAATTTTTCATCTACCAAATACGTACGTGCCAATTCATATAAACACAATAATATCTTATATTCTATGAAACAAAGTTATTATTTTATGTAACAAAGTTTTATTATTAATGAAAACTTATCTTATTATCCGATTCAACAAAAGAAAACGAAAATTAACATACACATAAACAAGGAGTAATTCTGTTATTAGGAATACATCTCATATGACACCCTTCCATGCAGTCATCATCTTGTAATTGCACTACCTGTGGTGAACCTTCATGATGTTGCACAATCTGAGGAATTTCTTCAAGTAATAACCTTTTTGCCTCAACATTTCGAACTGTAACAATACTCATCACTAAAAAATCAGAAATTATAAATAAAAAATTGTATGTAGAGTTTTGTTATTTGTTTCAAACAGAAAATATAAAATTTACCTGATGTAACAATTAAGAAGATAACGAAAGCAAACGTTATTGGTATTTTTTCCATTGTTTTACTCGTAGATTAGATTATTACAAAGATGAAGATAGTGGTATTTGAGGTTGATTTTGAAAAAAGAAACCAGAGATTACTTATATAGCAGAGGTTGTTACACAAAACTCGGGTATTCCCTAATACGTAGAAGTACAACTACTTCTAGATACAATAGTAATATAAATCTACTGTAAATTACTCATTATTTTATTTTTGTCATCAGTTAAATACTTATCAAATTATACGGAACAAGTCCAGTTTTTGCTAAGTAAAACTATATTAATTTTTTTTATAAATATATATATATATATATATATATATATATATAAGACTAAAACTGATATTTGACAAATAAATATTCAATAACAATAGATAAGACCAATTCTGGAGTGTGACCATAAAAAATTGGTGGTCAAGCCAAGATAGACGGAGTAGAGTTTGATAACAAATTAGAACTGAAAAATCCGATTTTTTGGTTTTATCAGAGTTTTTGATTTTTGGTTTATCAGAATTTGTCTCAAAAAGGAGAATTTCAAAGGCAGTGTGGTATTTATTGTTACACGGTAGACGACAAGACTTTGGGTTCGATTTGAAAACTGAAACGTTGGTTTCATTGCATGGTGTTTAAGATTCAAGTTCATGACTAGCTTACTTAACTAAAAATTAAATTCTGAAAATGAGATCTATCTAACAATAAACCGGTTCATCCGTTC